GTAGTGGATGTGCTCTGCCTACAAAGCAACTACAGTGCACGTCAATTCACATTGGTGTCTGACATCGCTCTCATTTACCGTGCGTTATTTAGCCTCAGTCATTGTCTGCAAGGAGTCTCTTTTATTGCATCCTATATAGTACACGTACGTTACATGCTTTGCTGCTATTACATGCTTTGCTGTTATTTGCTTAAGATTACCATTTTTGTAAATAAATAAAAATGTATAATCCTTTGTCATTTCACAGTTGGGTGAAGGCCTTCCCAAACGGTGTCGGTGATAGGGGTTGTTGACCATACTTTACCACACTAGTTCGGGTTGGTAAAGGGGTGCCAAGGACAGGTTGAAATATCAATTGACAATAAAGTTAGCGGAGTCTGAGAATAGACCTCGTATCGCAGTACACTAAGCACTGCACTTCTGCTATGCCCCATCTTTTTTCAACAACTTTAATTTAAAATTATTAGTGCTTATAAAGGTGAATATTTATTTTCAGCCCATATTGCAGCTTTCTTTATTAATACCAGTTTCTTAAAAAAATAATTTCTGTTGGTTGTTATAATGATTGTGATTTGCACTTATATCAGTTTTATATATTCTATATCTGGACATAAAATGTGTATACATTTATTTGCACTTGCATGTTTAAGTCCATGTGTTCATGTGTGGATCGGTGAGGTATATGGAAGTGCATGCCCCTGTAATTTATTATCATGTAACAATGCCTGAAGTGCACAGCGAACAAAAAATCATGTTATGTTAATTCGTAATGCAATGCTCGTATGCCTATGACATGTAGGCAACAATTTTGTTACATTCTTTTGAAAGTGCAGTTTGCAATTCCCGCTGGTTTGTAACACCCTCGAGTGGTCTCAGTGAGGCTGACATGCATGCTGGCACTTGTTCATGAAAGCACATCTGATTAATGTGTGTGCATTGAGGTGCCCGTGATTGCGTGCATACCTGGACTCGCTTGTGCGCTGTATTGTGAGCTGCCTCGCTTGTTTTTTTTTCCCGTGCGCATCAGCGTTTCCGTGTGTGTGGCTTCGCAATTCCATGGGTTGAGCTCTCGAGTCCATGTGTGAGGACTCAACCTGCCATTCATTAAGTTTCTAATGATATTTATTTGTTAAATTAAAAGTCAGTGAGTGGTTCTTGTTCAAATGAGCTTTGCAGCAGTGCTTCTCATCTCCTGTTTATAACCCTATGTCAGTGGGGGAAAGTTCACATTCCTGTTGACTTTAGTGATGTTAATTAAAGTAAAAAAATGATGCATTTGCAACTTTTTGTACATTTGGGAAACTGAATCAAGGATTTTAAAAGGTGTAATGATTTGATTAATTTTCTAATTTCTTAATAGCAATCCAGTGAGTATTCTCATTTATTTTACTGGACATTGCACACAATTGACTTAACATATCCTTGTGGATGAATATCACATGCTTGTATGCATTGTCAATCTCCTGCTTATTTACATGTGTGTTGGTGAAATAAGTATTATTAAAAACAATGTAATTTATTTACCCAGGAAAGCCGAACTGAAGATTTTTAAGGAGAGGCTGCTAAATAATTTCACCAAATTTTGCATATCTTTGCACGTGGGAACAATTTTACAATGGCACATTTTCTAAAAATGCAACTGATACGTTTGGAGTCCTTGATTGAAGGTGCCTAACTGATGTGAGAGTCAAGTGCATTCTGCGCATAGGTTTAAAATCGCGCATTGGCTTTGCTTGTACTGAATACTGTAAATGCATTAGAAAGATTGTTAAAACAACGTAACGTTTGTATACCATGGATACAACAATACACTATCCATGTTTTCAGCCATTTCCTTGGCTACAACATAACATGCCACATACTGAGTTGGTACCATTGAGCCCAGCTTCACTGTGCAAGCACTACTTAGACGAGGGACAAAGGTGGGCCCTTAGAGGTATTCACAGAGGCCAATCAAGCCACCAACACACAACACATTTTGTGTTTGAGCTTGATTCAGAAGCACGTAGTTATGAGAGCTTAAATTGGGTATAATTGCTTGGGACCAAAATTGATTGGGGCAGGAGGCAGTAGTAACATCAGTGTTCTGTTCTATAGCTAGCCACACTAGAGGTATCTACATAAATGACTTCAAAAGAAAAATAGTTTATCAAAAGCTGTCTAACTGTTGAGTTGCATGTCATATGTTAGCAATGGATACAAAAATAAAAAAGGTCACTAGGCCAGTGTTCTTCACACACTTTCAGATGGAGGCCACTTTTGCCAATAAGACATCGGTGTGAGGGGCCACCACACCCGACTGCAAGGGGTGTCTTCACATTTTTTTTATTGTCAGAGGCCGCCAGTGGCCCGCGGGTCTTACAATGAAGAACTCTTCTGTAGGCCATTAGACTGATAGACTAGCAACAATAAATAAATAAACACTGTAAGACCTTTTAAAATAACTATACAGATGTATGTTGAACTTCTTTCGCACTGTGTAGCCAACCGTGCTTATAATATGTATAAAATGTTGATGTTCATAATGAACCTGATTTCTTTTGCATATTTTTACACAGCTCTAATATCTACAATCATTTAAATGAGTTATGTAAAATGTGTAATCATTGATTTATAGAATGTTCACAGGTTTTTTTTGTGATAATGTACGCTCCACTTGGATGTGCTGACATGCTGTGGCACAGGAATTGATCACTTCATACTGCGCATACATTTACATGCGATAAACACATTGTGTATATATTGCTTAGGATTTGTAGATATTATTGAATACAAATTTCCCCTATATGTTTACAAAAATGGTTGCCGGTCCATTAATCTAGGAGGCCAAGATTTTTTTTTAAGTGGCTTTGGAGCGAAATAGTATTTTTCGTATGCATATGTAGCTGTGATGTAACTTGGTTATAGTAACTTTTTGTCTGCAAATTATTAATTGTAAACTGACGAATTGTGGCATTGTTAGCACATACACCAATTCCATAAACAAACATTTAATTAGATTTTTTTTTATCATGGGCTTGTCAGTGATTTATAAGAGTTCTCTGGGGAATGCATGTGGCCTTCAGGCTATGGTCTACAAAAAAGCCGATGATTATATTTGAGTAAGTGCTGCAGTTGTCTTATGCGTGCAATAAACACTAATTTCTACAATTTAACATTCTGGAAAATATCTTGTTATGTCATTGTGAATAGCCTTAGTGATGGATTATCACCTTGGAGATATGCAGACTTATACTGAGGGACTGAAATAGAATACATGGATAAAAAAAGAAACACAACTTAGCATAATTACTGCATAAAAAAATCGACTTGCAAAGGACACATCGCTAGAAGAGATGATTGCCGATTGACGAGACTGAGACTGGTAACATGCCCGAGAGCATGAGAGATGTGTTATGGCATCGCAAAACTGCGAGAGACGGTGAAGATATGCAGGGAGGCCTTCATGCAAGAGTTCATTAATTACAGCTGGTGCTAATATGATCATGATGAAACACTTTCATTTATTGTCCTTCAATACAGTTGGTGAGGCAAATTTTTGTTATAACATGTTATTAAATTTGGTTGCACCAGTATATGTTCTTGGGGTCTTAAATCTCACGGATAGATAAAATCTATTTATATGAAAGGGAAATGTGTGAATGTGTGTCTGTTCAAAATGTTTAGCATACTTCCCGACATGCAACAAACTTGAAATTTGCCATGTGGGTACTTTCCAGACTGTACACCATGCAAAAGTTATAAAAATAGACTTTTGTATATTTTTTGGGGGGTGGGGGGCGCAATAACGCATATATTTTGCACGGCAAGTGAGCTGTGACGTCGCATCTGTCATGTGACCCGTATGCGGAAGCGTAACTGAGTGTGCCTGCTCATGTCACGCACCCTCCCCCCCCAACCCTCCGCGGGTAAAGTGAAATACAAATGTGTTGCAGGTCGAAGGCGTTCTTCGCGCAGCATTGCTTTATTATTTGAGTCGTTTACTGCCGTACGCACCCTGAAAGTTGTGTCTGCAGCAAGCGCGTGTATGTGTACCTATGGACGCGCGCGCACGTGTGTGTTTGTGGGGGGAGCGGTAGTGTAGTGGTTAGCGCGCTGCGCTACAAACCAGGCGACCCGAGTTCGATTCCCGCTCACGGCCACCACCGGTTACGATTATTTGAACCGGTCCTGGGCCTCCCCTAGGTAGACTCAGCCTCAAACGAGTAACTGGTGTGGTGTGTGTGAACATCGCCACTGGGGGGACAAAGGCGGCCGGGCGTGGTGAATCCAAGTCCCGTGCAAAGCCGGGTAGTAAAGCTAGTCACGTATATTACTTTGGTCATTTATATACATATCCAAATTGATGTCTTTTAAGTCCTCGCAAAGGGTTAACATTACAAAACATTCCTAGATGCATGTTAAACTGGCCTTCGAAATAAATCACCCTCAATACGTACTATACTCGACCAGCCAATTACTTTTCTGCTCATAGGGACAAAGTGAGAACTGTGAAGCATACTGCTCTTGAACCCAGAACATGCTGTGTTTATTCTTTCTTTCAGAGTGTGTATTGCCACCTTTCAATGCTGCTTACTCAATGTTTAGGGATTTTATCAAGGGTGATGGGTGGAACGGGTAATGCACTTTTGACCAATAACTTCCACATACAAATGAATTTTAGGCAATAAGCATATTCTAAATTTGCTCAGCAAACATCCAAGCTATAGCCACTTGACCTAATATTGTACCCAGATTGTTTCTATGTAGCTAAGCCACCCAACCCCAAGTTGCATGGACACCCACTCCCAACGGTTACAAATAATGTACATTTTGGCCGCCCAACCCCAGCTTGCATGGACACCCACTCTCAATTGTTACAAATAATAAAAATTTTGCCTCGTTATTCAATGCATGTAATTGTGGGAGTAAAGGCACAAAGGAAACTTAAATATACATCTAATTTTCTAAAGCGTGCTCGCTGTGTTTGCGCTTGTGTGCCGCGGTTGTTCCGTACGCAGTGTTCAGCGTGGATTACCGAGATGAGCTGGACATCTTGGTGAGCGGCTCAGCCGACTTCGCCGTCAAGATCTGGTCGCTCTCGTCCGCCGCCTGTCTCAACACGCTCACCGGACACTCGGAGTGGGTCACCAAGGTAACAATGGTGAGGGAGCTGGGTCTCCGATGCTGTGCGTCGCTACCGGTTTAGCCTGCCATCGGTGAAGGAAAGCCCTTTCTCTATTCTCGCAGTGAAAAGTCAGCAGCTCCCGGCTCATCTATATTGGCAACACTGAGAAAATAGTTGATATTTCATGTTCCCATGTTGGGAGGCATATCAGTAAGATGAATGCTTTCGTCTTCCCACAAAGTGATAACAATTTTTCGTCTCGGAAAAATGATGGGCAGAATTGACCTCCACCTGTATTTGAAGTTGAGCTCTCTAACCACAGTGCAGATAATTCACCCATCCAGATATAGACTGACTTAAGATGATTGTGATATTCAATTAGTAATAGACTCATGTTACGATAATCGAGTGTGTCAAATGTATTCGTCACTTTCAGATGTGCCAGTTTACTGTTGACAAATCAGCACTTTTAATGCTTCAAGGCACACAACTGATTTCCATATTTTAAGGTCGCGCTTGAATGATAATTTGCCCCCCTTAAGCTTTATAATTTCAATTTTTGAATAGTTTCAAGCTTTAACTTTGCCTTTTAGGATACAATTTGTTGCATTCCTTTATTTGGGAATACATAAATATGCTAACTTAATGTTTTTTTAATCAAATAAAGATTGGGATGCTCGTTAAAAACCTTACGGCAGAGAGATAATTTATCACTATAACACTATTAATGTTGTCATTCTAGTTTAAATTCATCAGCAGTAACATTTTATCTCTAATCCCTATTATTAGAAAATTTAATATAATAGTTGAATTTTTATTTTTTAAATACTGCTGTTCTAAAATAAAAGCTTTTGAGAGGTATATTTATGTCTGTGATGCTCAAGACAGCAATCACTAAAATACAAAGTCATTTACTGGGGTGGGGTGATCAAACATTTTAAAGTTTAGAATGCGTGTCAGTCAGGTGAGCTCCCAGTGGGTCACAGAGACAAGATGGGTTTGTGATGGAACTTGTTCAGCGGCCCTAGTACAGTGGTTCCAAACCTTTCTGGCCACTTTAAACCTTCAAACATTTTTTTACAGACCGTGCACCAATAAATTGTTTTAAATATAAAACTACTTCACAACTGTAGTGCCTACAACAGTTCGACAGACCACTTCCCATGGCTTTGGTGGATCACCAGTGGTCTATGGACCACAGGATCGGAACCACTGACCTAGTGCTTACATCGCAAGCTTCTACTGGCACCTCCATTATACCTACGAGTAACTGGATTTTCTTGTAAACAGGGCATTCGTGATAGAATTGTCCCATCGAATAAACTTGAGCTCATCCAAGGTCAAGTTGACTCCCTGGGTTCTGTTAAAATGTGCTTCCTTGTTTGGAATTGAATCAAATTTGTTGAGATGTTGTGATGCACGAGTCACTCACAGGACTCTTTAAAAAAAAACATCTCTCAAAGTTCGGCTAGAGAGACAAAGCGAGCCGTGTGCTCAGCCACAGACATGGTTGTTCTGGGGTAAACTGTTTCAAACCTTACCCAATTTTAATCTCATTCCCAGTTGAGAGAATTGCAGGAAGAGGAGGGTTAATGCATGTCAGGTAGCGCTTAAAGGTAGGGACAGGTACATTGAAGAAAAGCTATTTCTCTTTTTATCAAGCCTGCTAATGCAAAGAGTGTGACACTCAGATACAGCTGTTTGTTGGAAATGAGAAAGAAAACGGATCTGGCAAATTGGTTGCTTATGTTGGCTGGATCCTGTAAATTTCTTTGGTTGGATGCTATCTAATGGGCTCTCCGATAATAGAAATTGGTGAGTGGAAAACCATTTACCTGTGAAAGCAGCTGAGGGCATGTAAATATACTGTTTATTTTTAACATAGTCCAAGAAGCGATGCACATTAATAAACATTCTGTTTAAATACGCAAACCCAATGAATAATCTCCAATGCACATGCGACTTCTCCCAAAATATTTATGACTCTAGAGATATTGGATAAAGCGAGGTGAGGATATATTTCCTGAAAAATCAGCTTGTTGAATTATATATTTCGAATGTATTTGTGACTTAACCAAGTAGAATATTTGAGATTGGAGGGAAGAGAGATAGTGCTTGACTTAAAGCTTTCGTGACTGCGGGGAATTTATATTCGTTGGGCCTTTCTCACGAACACAGCCACCGCTGCAGTGGTTCTCTTACATTGACACGCTAATCTCTCACAACACAATGGCCACCTCCACAGCTTCGTGGTCGTGGAGGTATATCAGCTCTCCGATCTTACATTTACTCGCAAATTCCATCGCTAGCCCCGCCCACTTACCCTTGGGCTACACCCATCTCAAACCTATATAACATCCTGCTTTAGCAGCTCTCCCGCTATATTTTTTCTTGCCTCAGCAGCTCTCCCGTTATATTTTTTCACCTGATGATGATTGCTTGTGTTGCGATCAAAACGTCATGATATTTTCTTATTTTTCTATCTACGTGGATTTACCGAAAGACCCAAAGAATAGAGATAGTGCTGTTTGTAACATTGCCGCTTGAGCATGTGTGCGGTTAGTTACGAACCACCATCTCTCCCTGCTTGACAGTAAACTACTATTTACAGTACCAAAGTCAGGTCTGCCTTCTTAGCACCCTGTAAATAATTTTCTTGCACTTAAAAATTTCTACTTGTGTGATGAATAATTTATCCTGCCATATGTTGCAGTTTGCGAAATTGTGCTATTTTCGTGTATAACATCTGGCTTTGCTATTACAATCGTACCTCAACAGGAACATGGTGTAAATTTCTTATTTATTTACATTAAACCATTTTATTCTGGGAAAAAAACGTACAAAATCAAGTAAAAAATAAATTAAAATCCACACACACTTAAATCAATCTAATATGCTCCGATATAATTCAAAAATCAAGAGCGCAAAGCTTGTTTTGTGTGACATTAATGTTCTATACACATCACACAAATTAACTGATTAATATGGCTCAGCAGAGGCAATAAGAAGATGAGGTATTACGCTCAGTTGACTATCTTTAGGTGTACATAACATGCTGGAAATCGAATCCAAAAGAATTGCCATTTGAGAGAATGCATGCATTGTGCTTGGTGATGGACTTGTCAGGGTAGGTTTCAATCAAAACCTTTTATTCTCTCTTTGGATCTGACAATGGGCATGTTTGTTGGACTGATTTATGCATAATTATTGTCAGGCACAGGCCAATGAGAGCTTTGTGTTTCTCAGTGGTTCTGTGCTACGGAAAGTATATCTGCGTATTCGGCCATCTCCCCGTGTTACATTGCTTTTTTTCTTAGTCGGTGCCGGTGCTCGCATCAGTCCAATCGGTTACTATTAGCATACATTACCCATGGGGTGCGGCAAACGCGTAGTGGTTAGCATACCCAGGTTACAATTCAGAGGTTGCCGGCCTGATTTAATCTCCTGGCGCAGAACCTGAAACGGTGGGAAAGTTTCTTACATCTCCCAGCCTATGCCCACTTTGGCAGTATAAATTGGTACACCACATTGTAATAATAGGGTTTTCCCCCTGTTTTCTGGCAACAAAACTGAAACCTTTTTACAAGGATTCATGTCTGCATTAACCACAATACCTGCAGTCAAAATGAAAACAAAAAACATACTATGATAATATATGCATTGTCCTTGAAACTGATTGGTCCACACCAAGGGACGGCTTTCTTTTGAGCCTCGACCCAATTGGTGCTCGACCAGATGACGCCAAAAGGCGTCATCTGCATATATTATCATAGTATGTTTTTTGTTTACATTTTGACTGCAGGTATTGTGGTTAATGCAGACATGAATCCTTGTAAAAAGGTTTCAGTTTTGTTGCCAGAAAAAAAGGGGAAAAACCCTATTATTACATTTTGGTACTGGCAAAGGAGGTCTAATGATGGTGCACCACAGTAAGTTGATTGCAGGTCACGTGCGAATGTCCGACATCTCTTTTAAGATGTCATGCCAGCGTGAAAGAGTTGGCCACATACCCTCCAAAAGGGGCTCTCTCGAACTTCCCATGTTGGAGACCCTTCCACCAACAATGGCGTGAGCAAACAATTTTATGGCTGCATCTTTACCTTTTTAATCTTGTTGTATTATCCATAGCATTAACTACCATTGCAGGCAAGAGTTCACCAAAACACAAACTGGAAAAGTTAATCTCGTCACGTGGTTACCTCAGACCGTTCACTTCTCTGCACTAGCCGGGCAGAAGCAGAACACCGTTGTTCCGTAGCTGTGGAGGATTTTTTGACGATTTTTAATGGAAATAAATGAATATACACCAGAATGGTGTATTTTATATGTATATGAATATAAAAAAAGAAACCCGTTGACCCATATGCATTGTCACCTCTTGTAAACCACATGGGTTAAAACCTCTGGCAAGTTTCTTCATCAACCAAAGCCTGCATTTTACATCTAATGGGTACAATCCATGAAGTCAATTGATTAATAATTTGTGGTTCAAAACTGGTTGTAATTAAGAAATGAAATGAAAAATAAGAGATCCGCCTACTGCATTGTGCTGCCCCACACGTTGATCTTAAAAATTTTTTTATCCTATTTTAAAGTTGCTTTCTTTGCAAAAGTGTTGGATAGTTATGTTTGTCCTGAGAACATTGATTCTCACTGATTGACAATGTAAAAACAACGTTGGTAGTTATTCTTTAACAGCACCCCCGATTAGCACTGTTGGCTATGAGGAGCAGAAAAGAAGTTCAGCATGCATGCATACATACATGAAAGGCCGAGGACATTTAAGCCACTTGTGCTTCAGGCAACAATAGCGGGTGTACCCTTGTTTAAAATGCATTTACTTTTAAAAGTTTTCTCACTTCCCATGAAATTATTGTAATATTGAGCTATATCTTGTGAATTCATATTATCTGAAAGGCCCTTTTAAATATGAATTAATGTTCACATAATCAAAGGTGACTTTTATTTAAAAAAAATACATTGCCTCTCTGGCAAATTATCTATTCATAAGAAGTCATGAAGTATATTAAATATAA